TTTTCCAAAATTTGCTGGACTTTGGGGCAGTCCCAGCAGATTGGAAAACAGCAAATGTGATGCCACTGTTTAAAAAGGGAAGTAGACAAAAGATGGGGAATTATAGACCGGTTAGCTTAACCTCTGTCGTGGGGAAGATGCTTGAGTCTATTATCAAGGAAGAAATAGCAAGGCATCTTGATAGAAGTTGTCCCGTTGGGCAGACGCAGCATGGGTTCATGAAGGGCAGGTCATGCTTGACAAATCTTTTGGAATTCTATGAAGACATTACGAGCAAGGTGGGCAATGGGGACCCAGTGGATGTGGTGTACCTAGATTTCCAAAAGGCCTTCGACAAGGTGCCGCACAAGAGACTACTGCATAAGATAAGGATGCATGGCGTTAAGGGTAAAGTATTAGCATGGATAGAGGATTGGTTGACTAGCAGGAAGCAAAAAGTGGGGATAAATGAGTGCTATTCTAGCTGGCAGTCAGTGACTAGTGGTGTGCCTCAGGGATCGGTGTTGGGACCGCAATTATTTACAATTTATATAGATGATTTGGAGATGGGGACCACGTGTAGGGTGTCAAAGTTTGCAGATGACACTAAGATGAGTGGCAGAGCAAAGTGTGCAGAGGACTGTGAAACTTTGCAGAGGCACATAGATACATTGAGTGAGTGGGCAAAGGTCTGGCAGATGGAGTACAATGTAAATAAATGTGAAGTCATACATTTTGGTAGGAGTAATAGTAAAAAGGGTTATTACTTGAATGGTAAAAAGTTGCAGCATGCTGCTATGCAGAGGGACCTGGGTGTACTTGTGCATGAATCACTGAAGGTAGGTCTGCAGGTACAACAAGTAATTAGGAAGGCAAATGGAATTTTGTCCTTCATTGCTAAAGGGATTGAAATTAAAAGCAGAGAGGTTATGTTGCAGCTGTACAAGGTGCTGGTGAGGCCACACCTGGAGTACTGTGTGCAGTTTTGGTCTCCTTACTTGAGAAAGGATGTATTGGCACTGGAGGAGGTTCACTAGGTTGATTCCGGAGTTGAGGGGGTTGGTTTATGAGGAGAGACTGAGTAGATTGGGATTATATTCATTGGAATTCAGAAAATTGAGGGGGGATCTTATAGAAACATATAAAATTATGAAGGGAATAGATAAGATAGAAGTAGCGAGGATGTTTCCACTGGCAGGTGAAGCTAGGACAAGAGGGCATAGCCTCAAGATTAGAGGGAGCAGATTTAGGACTGAATTGAGGAGGAATTTCTTCACCCAGAGGGTTGTTAATCTATGGAATTCCTTGCCCAGTGAAGTAGTTGACGCTACTTCAGTAAACGTTTTTAAAGAAAAGGTAGATTTTTTTTTGAACAATAAAGGAATTAAGGGATACGGTGAGAACGCAGGTAAGTGGATCTGAGTCCACGAAAAGATCAGCCATGATCTTATTGAATGGCGGAGCAGGCTTGAAGGGCCAGACGGCCTACTCCTGCTCCTAGTTCTTATGTTCTTATGAACTGTTCGAGCTCCTCGTGGGAGCACGAGGCGGCGCCGATACAGTCATCAATGTAACGGAGGAAGAGGTGGGGTTTAGGGCCAGTGTAGGTATGGAAGAGGGATTGTTCCACGTAACCTACAAAGAGGCAGGCATAGCTTGGGCCCATGCGGGTACCCATGGCCACTCCCTTTGTCTGTAGAAGTGGGAGGAATTGAAAGAGAAGTTGTTGAGGGTGAGGACGAGTTCAGCTAAGCGGATGAGGGTGTCAGTGAAGGGGAACTGGTCGGGCCTGCGGGACAGGAAGAAGCGGAGGGCCTTTAGGCCTTCCGTATGGGGAATGCGGGTGAATAGGGACTGTACGTCCACGGTAAAGATGAGTTGTTGGGGACCGGGGAACTGGATGTTCTGGAGGAGGTGGAGGGCGTGGGTGGTGTCACGGACATAGGTGGGGAGTTCCTGGACCATGGGGGAGAAAATGGAGTCCAGATAGGTGGAGATAAGTTCGGTGGGGCTGGAGCAGGCGGAGACAATGATTCAACCAGGGCAGTCAGGTTTGTGGATTTTGGGAAGGAGATAGAAGCGGGCGGTGCAGGGTTGGGGAACGATGAGGTTGGAGGCTGTGGGTGGGAGGTCACCTGAAGTGATGAGGTTGTGGATGGTTTGGGAGATGATGGTTTGGTGGTCGGGGGTGGGGTCATGATCAAAGGGGCGGTAGGAGCAGGTATCGGAGAGTTGGCGTCTGGCCTCGGCGATGTAGAGGTCAATGCACCATACTACAACTGCGCCTCCCTTGTCCGCGAGGGATCTCGGCATACCGGTCCACGGTTCCCTGAAAGTGGCAACCTAAGTGGATCAAGTAGCCAAGAAGTCATAAGACATGTTTGCCTTCATCCATTGGGGCATAGAGTATAAAATTGGCAAATCATGATGCAGCTGTATAGAACTTTAGTAAGGCACATTTGGAATATTGCATATTGGAGAGGGCACAGAAAAGATTTACCAGTATATTAACAAGGTGTAGAGCTGGATGAACACCGCAGGCCAAGCAGCATCAGAGCACCAAACTGATCATCCCCAATGGACTACAGTCCACATTCAGGCCTTCCCAATTTGGCCCCAACCGTGACAATGTCTACATTCAGAACATTGAGATCCTTCAGAAGCGTTTCTCCCTGCAACTCCTGAAACACACACTCGCAGCAATGCACTGGCATCTCCTGGCACTACAATGAAGCCTACCCCAGCTCAGAGCCTCCCTCTCCCAGACCTGCAAAGGACCTCTCCTGTTTTTTATTCTTCATAGGATCCACAACCTGAACTCACAATTCTACTCAGTTTTATTGGACATTTATCTCTGATGCTGCTTGGCCTGCTGTGTTCATCCAGCTCTACACCTTGTTATCTCAGATGCTTCAGCATCGGGAGTTCCTACTACCCCTTTACCAGTATATTGCCTGGTTTAGAGGGTATTAGCTATGAAGAGAGGTGAATAGAATTGTTAGTTGGAGTCTTTTTTCCCAGGCGAGATATGTCAGTTACTAGAAGACATCGGTTTATAGTGAAAGGAGGAAAGTTTAAAGGAGATGTGAGAGGCAAGTTTTTATACACAGAGGCTGGTAAGTGCCTGGAATGCACTGCCAGAGGAGCAGGTAGAAGCAGATACCTAGCAACATTTAAGAGGCATCTTGACAGATAAATGAATAGGCAAGGAGCAGAGGTATATGGATCACATAGAAGCAAAAGGTCTTTAGTTTAGAAAGACATCTATTGTCACCACAGGCTTGGTGGACCAAAGGGCATGTTCCTGTGCTATACTGTTCTTTTTCCTTTGTTCATTGTTTAGACATATAAATAGTAAAAGGGTGTCTCTGTATGCATAGAGGATATTGCTGATGTCCAAAATTTTACCTTCCATTTGTCTTTACCAAAGAACATGGTGTCACATGAAAAAAAATAGTTGATGCAATGGATGCCTAAAAAATTGATGAAGTGAAGATGTTAGAAATGCTGGCTGTAATTAAGGTTGCTAAGTCTCCAGGACTACATGGGATGTATCTGGGGAAAATAAGGATGAAAATTGGTAAAGCATTAACCATAATTCTCCTTAGATACAGAGATAATGTAATGCCTCCATAATGGCAGAATTACAAATACTGCACACTGTTTTCAAAATAGATTGTAGTAAGGATAATCCCAGCAAGTAGTGGCCAATTTAACCTCATGTTGGAACAGCTTTTAGAAATCATGGGACAGGATACTCCAGTCCATGCCATGCTGAGGAGAATGGTTAGTGTGTGAACTTATCAGGCAAGAAGTCAAAAATAAGATTGTTGCTGTCGAGAAAAACTTCAGTGATTAAGTGCTCTCCTTCAAATGCTGAAGCAAGTATGCCACTAGCAGGTGGTGAGCACCTTATCTACAAGTATTTACATTTCATTAATGCCACGACTCATTGGATTAAACTTCACTTTCTCAATGAAGTTCCACACAACCTGGAAACTCGTGCTTCAGAAACCCAATACTAAAAATTAGGTGTGTACCTGGTGAGTTACATTTCTTCATCCACTTCAGGACAAGTACTTACTGCTTTCTCCTTATAGTGACATGGCTTCAAACGCCACTCTCAGTTATTGGCATATGATTTTTCAGAGTAGAGTTGACGTGTCCAGATGGACCAGACATGCTGTCTCCCTGGACCATCTCTGTGCCCAACAGGCACATGGCAAACAGGAGGCTGTTTATGGCTGAACAGCACATCTCAGCAAAAATTGCAAAGGCCTGCTTATGGCTGATCTGCATGGAACTATGAAAGTGGCAAACAGAGAGTGGCATTTTCTAAACAGCACTGAACCACAAAAGTGATGAAAGCGAGGAAGGAAAGGCCGGTAAGGGTATGTTCAGTGTGGGTGGGCAGTTGTGATTCAGTCAGCCTAGGGACTAAGTGGCAGTCCACCCGGGGCTGGCGTACATGTCAGTCCAGATTTGAGAGGCCTGTGCGGTGCAATGTCAATTGTGAAGCTAACTCATGTCCTGTATTTTGGGGCTGTGCTGAAGCAGAAAGTATGGTCATGGGTGGGGGCAATTGGATGCTGTAGCCAGGGAGTTGAAGCTGAGGCACTGTACTGTCTTGTAGGGAAATCAAGGAACATCAGTGTAAAACTAACTTCGATCAAGGAAAGGATCGTTCAGGCTCAAATAAAAGCAAAATAGTGCAGATGCTGGAAATCTGAAATAAAAGCAGGAAGTGCCAGAGAAACCCAGCATGCCTGGAAGCATCAGTGGAGAGAGAAACAGAATTGATGTTTCGAACCTGAAATGGGTAAAAATGAAGATGTGAAAAGGACACAATTTACATCTCTATCCCTCCTTCACAGCTTTAGCAACCCCTTTGTCTTTGGCTCGGGGATTGCTCACAATCTGTTCCACTTACTGCCCTCCCTCTCTGTCTACAACATAGATGAAAACAATATCAAGATGGCACAGATTAATCTTGCCATTTGACTGGTTGTCTTGCTTCTCAGAAGGAGCCATAAAATGTCAGCTGCTCAAACAGCCAGAACAGCTGCAGCAATCTGATCGAGCACTAGCTGCAGACCAGCTTGCTGAGGTACAACAGCCTACACAAACCAGTCAACATGGATGGTGCACATTAGGTTGAACCTGAGTCTCCGGGGCACCATGTACCTATCTGCAAATGACAGACTGGCAGTGTCAACAAGTGACTCAGATGTCCCAGGAGTGGTGTCCTACATCTGCCAACTTCTGGATGTGCTCCTGTGTCCTCATGGACCAGGAGGCCAGCCCATCCCAGTTGCCTTGAAGGTGACAATGGCCCTCAACTTCAATCTGAGTTGATCATTTGAGAGGGACCTACTCATAAATCTATCCGGGTGGTGACCGATGCTTTCTTTGCTAAGGCTTGCCTAGTTATTATTTTCCCAATGGATTCTGTCAGTCAGGCAGCCAGGGCAGTGAGATTTGCTGCTAATGGAGGATTTCTGCAGGTGCCGGGTGCAATGGATTGTATCCATGAAGAACAATAAAGTGCCCTGTCAGGAATACACAGACTGATACTGAGGAGATTTATAACACTTAGCCGACTTCAACAGGGCTAAAGTAGAGCAGACCATTGGGCTCCTGAAGATGGGATTCACATACCTGGACGGGTTAGGTAATAGAAGGTAGTATACCCCAGAGTGTCCCATAATGGTTTACTGCTCCCTCTTCAACTTGACTGTACAAAGGGGACATGTTTCCAGTCAGTAGGAAATAGAGGAGCAGGACTTCTCCTTTGAGGATGAAGCTGATTCTGAAATAGCCAAGGAACCCCGCCCCCCTTCGATATTAGATCAACAGGATTTTAGCCCATCAGATGAACCTCCTGACCACCCATTTCTAGAGGCTGAGCTCCATGGACCTGTGTCTTTTTGTTGTTCTGCTTGTTAATGACCTACTGTTTGGGAGGCTGTACAATATCTATCCAAAACATCTCTTTAACTTAGAAGTGTCTCAATTTACAATAATGTTTGAAAATAAATTGTTTCTTCTGTCACCTTGTGATGTGATAACTTTCAGGCAGAGAGCCTACCTGAGAGACCTGTAAGCTCTGAGCTAACTATGTGAATATGTAGCTGGAACACAGAGGGCACTGCAGGGACTCATAGAGGGCTGCTATATTCTGGGCTGCACCTCCATTAAAAAGAAGGCTGATTAGGGACCGCTCATCCTGAGGAAGGCTCTCTAGGTTTGACACATCCTACTTAATATTTTAGTCTTATACTGCCCTCTCTGACTCTCCCAACAGTCCTGCAGAATGTTAGGATCCTGTACTGGATCATTGCTATGGCTGTGCATTCTCAGTAAGTGAGCCTCATGAGGTGTACAAATGCTAACATTATTCCCCCATCCACCAATTGCTCAAGGGACTGATGAGATGTGCTTTACCTATCTCATATACTGAGAATGCCTAGCTTGTCTATGGAAATCCCAACCAGTTAAGAGACCCTTGATTTACACATCCTTTTAGATGCTACACACCTCTTAGCATGACTTTCATGAATTATCTGTGTAAGGTCCACTGTGTGCCTGTCCCAAGCCCAATATCCTGCTGTTGAACTGATGGGACAAGTCTTTCTTCCTGAACATTACCTCTGGAGCGTTGACTGCACTGGCCAAATGCTGGGCCCATATTGCGCTGGGGGAATGAGAGGGAATTCAGGCACACACATTACCAATGCAGTGAGACAAGCAAACATATCCCAAGAGAAGGGTGGCATCTCATTGTAGTAAGGGAGGGTGCTGCACTGCTTTCACTTCAGGCACCCAGCAGGGAAATGAGATGGCATCACATGTTAAAAGAGTGAAAGTGTAGATATATTTACACGTACAAGATTTCTGTACTTTAATGAAGCACCAGGCCACAGAGGTGCCCTATTAAGGACTACCATTTTCTTTGCCTCGCACTACATCTGGGGGAAAGCCCAATATCTGCAGGTAGGCTGGAAGGAACCTGCTGGCTCGTAGGCCCAGGTAGCTGTGAAGACCTTTGCGGCTGCCCTGTCTGGATTCAGGGGCTCTGGAGCGTCCTCAGATGAATTTCCATAGTGCCTGCCTATTGATTCTTCATCGTGGTGGTGCCTGCCGGTATCGTCAGGCTGCAGTGCTTCATACCCACCCCCCTCACTTTGCCGTTGATACTGGGCCCACAAGGCTTGAGTGATGGAATGCAGTTCAGAGCACACATTCAGCAGCCAGTGAACGTGTTGCTGGATCTAGCTCCCCAAGGCAGCTACTATCCCTTCCATTGAATACAACCGAAAGAACTGTGGATTCAATAAATCAGAAACAAGAACAGAAATTGCTGAAAAAGCTCAGCAGGTCTGACAGCATCTGTGATGAGAAATCATAGTTAACGTTTCGGGTCTGGTGACCCTTCCATTGAAACAGCCTGCATGCTGCAGCCACCATGGGAAACAGGACTGGATGGTTTCATAAAACAGCACACCAGAGGAACAGGCCCTTTGGCCCACCACGTCTGTACTGACTACAATGCCATTCTAAACTAATTCCATATGCCCGCACATTGTCCGTATCCCTCTGTTCGCTGCATGTTCATGTGTCGTCCAAATGCCTCTTAAATTTTGCTATCATATATACTTCTCCTTATAGCTAATACATTCCAATCCAGGCAAACATCTTGGGAAACATCTTTTGCACCCTCTCCAAGGCCTCCACTTCCTTCCAAAAGTGTGACAATCATAACCACATATGGTACTCCAAATGTGGCCTAAGTAAAGTCTTATACAGCTAACTTTTATACATAACGCTCTGACCAATGAAGGCAAGTATGCTGTATACCTTCCTTAGCACCTTGTCCACTTTCAGGAAGCTATGGACTTGGACCCCAAGTTCCCTCTGTATATCAATGCTCCTAAGGGTCCAGCCATTTACTGTATTCTTTTCTCTTGCAATTGACATCCCAAAATGCTACACCTCACACTTGTCTGGATTACACTCCACCTGCCATTTATCCATCCAACTTTCTAGCTGATCTGTATCCTGCTGCATCTTTTGATATCCCTCTTCACTATCCACAACTCCACCAATTTTCATGTCATCTGCAAACTTGCTAACCAGACCACTGACAGTTTCATCCAAATCACTTACATATATTACAAACTTCAGAAGTCTCAGCCCTGATCCTTGGGAACACCACTCGTCAGAGACCTCCAGTCAAAAAAATACCCATCCACAACTACCCTCTATCTACTATGGTCAAGCCAATTTTGTATCCACTTGCCAATTCTAGATTCCATGCAATTTGATCTTCTGGACCTTGTCAAATGCTTCAGTAATGTCCATGTAGACAACATACACTGCCCTATCCTCATCAGTCATCTTCATCATTTCCTTAAATAACTCAATCAAATTTTTGAGACAAAACCTCCCTTGCATAAAGCCACACTGACTGTCCATAATAAGTGCATTCTGCTCCAAATGCAAGTAAGTCCTGTCCCTAAGAATCTTCTCCAATAATTTCCCTACCACTTATGTAAGGCTCACCAGTCTATAATTTCCTGGATTATCCATGATGTCCTTCTTGAACAAAGGAACAACATTGGCTATTCTCCAATCTTTTGGCACCTTGCCTGTGGCTAAAGAGGATACAAAGATTTCTGTTAAGGCCCTAGCAATCTCCTTCCTTGCCTTCTTCAGTATTCTGGGATAGATTCTGAGGACTTAACTTAATGTTTCTCAAGACACCCAATACCTCCACCCTCTTAATATCGACATGGAGTATCAACAAACCCCTCTCTAAATTTAAAGTCATCCATGTTCTTGTCCTTGGTGAATACTGATGCAAAATACTCATTAAGAACCTCACCCACGCCCTCTGGCTCCACATATAAATTCCCTCCTTTCTGCGTGCATGGACCTACCCTTTCCCTAACTAACCTCTTGCTCCTAATATACATAGGAGATTCTCCCCAAACCTACTTGCCAAGGATATTTCATGGCCCCTTCTAGCTCTCCTAATTTCTTTTTTAAGTCCTTTTCTGCTTCCTTTATGTTCCTCAAGGACCTTGTTTGATTTCAGTTTCCTAAACCTTACATCTGCTTCCATTTTCTTTTTAACTAAACTTACAATATCTCTCATCATCCAATATTCCCAAATCTTGCCATCCTTATCTTTCATTTTCACAGGAACACACTGGCCTTTAACTCTGGTCAATAGGCTTTTAAAATACTCACATATGTCCTCCATCTTTAGCTCCAGTCTAGCCTCTAGCATCGCTGTCTGATGTTGCTCTCCATGTCTCTGCAGGTTGAGTTTGTCACTTATAGCCAAGTACATAGGTACATTTTCTGCATGGGGCTCAGGAGGTGTCTGGTCTCTGCCAGGCCTCTAAATGTCACTGACGTTGGGTCTTTCGTGTTCCACTAGCTGTGGACATGTGTCAGTGATGTGGTCACCAGATTGTTTCGCCAAGTCTACTTGAGATACAGTATCCACCAATGTGATAGTCTCTGAGCTGTTGGAATGTGCAGGCGAGTGCTTTGAAGGTATGTCCCTGAGGGATCAGACTTCATCCTGTACTGATGCTGAACTAGTTTTGTGATTTGTTTAGTTTTGCTGTCTGGTTACCATGCATGCCTGTGGAAGGCAAAAGCGAGAATTCATTGCTGCAGATGCACAAACTATTCTGTAGAAGAATGTATGAGGGTGTCTACACATCTGAGAATTGACATAAGAATGTTCCTCACTGGCTGTGCCATGTCTCTCTCTCCATAGGTGCAGAAAAATTGTCAGTATAAGGTCTGTGTGAGCTCTTCAATGCACTTCAAGCAGGTAGATTCAGTGAGGAGACTGAGAAATGGGGAAGTCAGCTTCAGGTTCCTTGCAGCCATCTTCAGGCAGGAGGTGTGCAAACGACACCCAAAGGTTGTTGTTGAGCTCCACCCTTGCAGTGAGTGAAGAAGTGCTGAGGTGTGCTTTTAATATGGCACTGGAACTATTGACCCCAGAAGGTGAGAACCACCAACCACCAATTGCCAATGATTCACCTTTTCATTTGACTTGGAACTTGTTTACTTGTGAAATGAGTGGAAAAGCGATGATTGCTTCAGGTAATTCACCACAGGCCATGTAGGAAGTAAGACCATCTAAGGGCACACAACTGTACTTTAACTCAAAAATGGAAAAGCCTGACCCATGACCCAAAGCAAAATCAATTTAGACAAATATGCTTTAATTGAGGAATGCTAACACAGGTTTGTAAAGCATAAGTTGTATTTAGCTAAATTGATTGAGCGTTTTTTTGATGATGTAACAGAGAAGTTTAATAATGGCTAGGTGTTTGATATGTCTTCCAAAAGTGCCATATTACAGACTTGTCAGCAAAATTGATACCCATGGGATACCATGTTTGCTGAGTGATAAGAAACAGAGTGGTGCTGAATGGCTGATTATTGAAGTGAAGAATGGTATATATTGGGGTTTCCCAGGCTTTGGTGTTAGGACCACTGCTTTTGTTTGAATATTTACCCATAATTTTACAATTTGCAGTTTGTACAAAACTTGGAAGCACCATGAGCTGTGGGGAGGATACAATCTCAGAATTGGTACTGTGCAGAATGAGGCCATTCAGGCTATCATGTCTGCACTGACTCTTAATGAGCAGCTCACTTCTCTTGCCTTCTCCCTGTAACCCTGCACATTGTTCCTTTTCAGATAACTGTTACATTTCCTTACAAATGCATTGAATATACCTGCCTCCTCCACACACTTTCAGACAGTGCTTTCCAACCTGCAGCTGCTCAGTGCAATCCTTGATCCTGGTATCAGGGAGATACAACACCATCCTGGATTCACATCTGTGGCTAGAGAAGCCCTAGCTATTGTCCTAACTGCTAAATCATCTATCACCATGGCTCTTCCAGCCTTTCATCTATTCCACACCTGAGCCTCCTGTAGTACCATGACTTGGCTTTGGGTATACTCCCCAGAGGAACCATCAGCTCCACACCATCTGGAACTGAATATTGGTTGGAGAGCGAGATGCAAAGAACTCCTACACTATGTGTGTCTGTTCTTTTGACTGCTTTGTGATCATACCCAAAATACTCTTAAGCTGTGCAGTGACCACATCTATAAATGTGCTATCCATGTAGCTCTCAGCCTCATGGATAAACTACAGTGATATCCCCAGCTGCTGCTAAAGTTCTGAAACCCAGACTTCAAGCTGCTGCAACTGATGGCATTCTCTGCACAAAAGGTTGTCAGAGACAGAGGAGAAGCTAAGGTTATTCTCTTGAGAGAAGAAAATGTTGACAAAAGATTTAATAAGAGTACTCAAATCAAAGTAATAAAGAGAAACTGTCCTATTAGCTGAACCAGAGGTTTAAAGTAACTGGCAAAAGAACCAAAGCAACATGAGGAAAAACCTCCTTACTGAACAAGTGGCTAGAATCTTGAATGCAATCTCTGAGAAAATGGCACTGGCAGGTTCTACCATGGCTTTCAAAGGGAAATTGGATAATTATCTGAACAGAGGTGATTTATGGGCTCTACATAAAACCTAGAGGTTGAATTTTTCTCAGACAGTCAGCATAGAAACATTGGATTGAATGGCCTCATACTGTGTTGTAGTCATTCTATAATTCTATGGAACATAAAATATCACAATAAATACACGTAAACCACAAAACTATAATTTTAAAGCATCCTTCCTCATTTCTATATACCATATGGTCAAAAATTCTTATTTTACCCAATACCAATATTATTAGATTTCACCACACTTGTGAATTTGAAGTATGGTGTGTCAAGGAACTAGAATGCTAGAATATTATTGCCTTTGCCAATTATCAAGAGCAAACAGAATCAGCTATTATTGAAATAAACGGTGACTTATGATACCCATTCTTCAATATATATCCACTGTAGATTAATTTACACATCAACCTGAGAGCCCAAGTTGTCCAAGTTTTATCTTAGAGCAATGATGTCAGACGAAACAAACAGTTTTGTTGCATGCAGCTGCTGTTAGCTTTTTGATAAGTTAAATGATTGAAAAATATCCTATTGCACATGGAGGAAATAGTTTTATTGATCACACCAGTAATGCAGAAAGACCATATACAAGATCCTTACTTGAGGTCATTGGCAACAATTGTTCCACTTCATGTGGAAGTAATTGCACTTCTGTTTATTTTCACATTTGTCCAGACAGAACAGAGACTAAGTACTTTTCTTGACATTTTAAAGCGCAATGTCATCTATCAGTTGCTAGGAATAAATCAATAAGGTCCTTACTGGGTTGAAAAACAAATCTGTTGCTGATCTGCTATGTTTGTGTTTTGAGAAAAATTGGCTTATTAGCTAGGGTGGTGTAGCTATATAAACAATTGGTGATAGCTTTTAATTGGACCCTGCTCACCCAACAGTTGTTCGTCTGAACTCAGTACAAAATTGGTGTATTATTAGCGTCAAAATTATTTGACCAAAAGAAAACCGCCTTATAGCAATTTCTAAAATGAAAGCTTGAGCATCATTTGTAAACATACAATATGATGACAGTTACCTGCATGGTGCTAAAATATTATTCTACAGTAGTCTGATGTATAAAAGAGGAAAATATATAGTAAATGGTAGGATCCTTAAGAGTATTGATATACAGACCCATCCTGGGATCTAAGTCCATAGCTCCCTGAAAGTGGCAACACAAGTGGATAAGGTAAAGTAGGCTTACAGCAAGCTTGCTTTCAACAGTCAGGACATTGAGTAGAAAAGTTGGCAAGTCATGTTGCAGCTGTATAAAACTTTAGTTAAGCCACATTGAAATATTGTGTGCAATTCTGGTTACTACCATATAGGAAGGATGTGGATGCTTTGGAGAGGAGGCAGAATAGGTTTACCAGGACGTTGCCTGAATTGGTCTGTATTAGGCAAAAGGAGAGTTTGGACAAACTTTGATTGTTTTCACTAGAGCATAGGAGGCTGAGGGGCGAGCTGTAGATATATATAAAATTTTGAGAGGCATGGATAGAGTGAATAGTCGGAATCTTTCTTCCAGAGTGGAAATGTTAAATGATAGGGGGTGTAGGTTTAAGATGAGAGGGAGTAAACTTTAAAAGAGATGTGCAAGGTAAGTGTCTTACACAGAAGGTGGTAAGGTACATGGAACGTGCTGCCAGGAGAGGTGGTAGCAGCAGATGCAACAGCAAAGTTTAAGAAGCATTTAGACAGACCTATGAACAGGCAGGGAATAGAGGAATAAGGATCTTGTGCAGGCACATGGGATTAGTTTTGAATGGCATAGTGGTCGGCTCTGACATGGTGGGCTGAAGGGTCTGTTCCTGTGCTGTATTGTTCTATGTTCTAAAAGTATTGTATTAGATCATAAGAAAAATGTGAAGTTCCTCTGTTAACAACAATTACTCTTTAAAATTAAACTTGCTGTCACAGCTCTCCCAATAAATATCCCAAAATCTCTATCATTGTTCTCTCATTTAAAGCAGAATTATTGGATCACCTGCGGTCTGCAGCAGTGTGAGCTTTTTTGACATCAGCCTAATCCTTGGCATTTAACAGGCAATTGTGTAGTATGTAGTTGATGAAACTGAAGTACAAAATCTGAGGCTAGATACCTCTCCTCACAAATTGTAATTTTTCTCTGCCTGTCTTGAAAGATATCACCTTCTGCTGTGTTTGTAACGAATTTGATAGATCTTGCAAAAACTGCTTTTGCTGGGAATGTATTTCAGACCTCAATTTTAGTGTTTGAAGGTCAAATCATTTTGTATGTGGACTATTTTTGCCACCTTAACTGATTCAAGTATCAGCTGAAAATGTTGGAAATATACAGAAGGTCCATCAGATTTCCAACAAACAAAAGACAGAATTATGTTTCCTGTGATGATATTTCATTAAAGCTTGGACTAATGATCTTCAAACAGAAACATTGGTCTGTCATTTCTCTTTAGAAATTCGTGCAGTGCAGCAGTGCTAAGTGGTTGCATAGGATCAGCCAGCTGTTATACATCCCACTAGTTTTTGAAGTGAACAGAACTGAACTTCTAACAGGGATTATAACTGGTGAAAAGGCACTACTGGGCTGATACAAGCATCTACCTCAACATGTTTCCGGTGTTTTGTTGTGTTTTCTGTTTCTTTCATTTCTCAGATTTAAAAGACTTAGTTTTGCTTTGAATTTCTGAGGTAAACTCATTATATCTATGCCAACAGGTGTCAATCCCCACATAAAGTACATAAAATTTTACCGGGCAGCAATGGCAATCTGGATCCTCTTTGGCATGGCATGGTTGGCACTTCTTTTTAACTTACTGACCACCTTCATGGAAGACACTGAAAAGAAAATTGCACAAATTAAGAATAAGAAAAAAGAAGCAAAGGCAAAAATGAACTTTAGGTATGATGCAAATGCAAACTCGAGCTCAGCAGATGATTCCATATTGTCGGATTCAGAGACAGGTGTGCAGGAAGGGGCCCAGAACTCTTCTGATCAGGAAGCATTTTTACAAGTTGAATCGAAAACAATGGCTTCAGATCCTTCTCAACAGGAAACAACGTCTGAGCCAGAATCTTTGAATACACAGAGTATAAACCAAGAAATAACATAGACTAATATTTGTCCAATTATTCCAAACTGAGGAGGCCATGTGTTCCTGGTTAGAAAATATCTAAAATCACTGATCAACATTGATGAGCAACATTTAAAGCAAGAATGGGGTAAAAATTTGAATTCACTGACAGGGTGATAAACTGGTGGAATTAATTGTCTTCCTATTATAGAACCTTGTCCAGTTATGATTCCCTCAGACATCAGCATATCTGCTGCCTCAGCAACGTGTCAGGAACAAAATTATGACTAAATGTATTAGGCTTAGAGGGACTCATTAAAAATTCAGCAGGATGCAAATTTCTTTCTGCCACCTTTTGGCCCTGAAATGGTGCTGTTCACAGAGCTTTAGTTCAAGCCTCATTAATATTTTTGGGCATGCTTTGGTCTCCACAGGTTGCCCACTATTTTAAGAAGATAAATTTCAGTTTGTGGGGCCAGGGATAGGGAAGATAAAATTCAGAGCTATTGTGGAGTCAGGGAACACACTTGCTGTTTTTGGCTCTGCAGAAATTTCTTTCATCAAAATTTTTAAAATTTACTAACCATCAGAGAATTCTGAGTGACTTCAAATCTATCCACGTAAAAGCATAGTATTGAATAGTATCTTCAGGTTTTTCCTTGCTTCAGAAGGTATTGGGAGGTTTGCAAACGCATTTGAAATGCTGAGGTTTGTGTCAGTAGTGGCTGGAAACAGATCTTAAAGAAATATTAAATCATATTTAAGTATGTTTAAAATATACCACAGGTGAATTTCCATTCATTCAACATAAAGCCACGTGTACAGATTTACAGAGTTCACATTGCAATTATGAGGCTATTGTGCCATGCCTTCAGAACTTACCATTTGAATTATGCTAATTGTAAGCTATGATACAGATGATAATACAATAGTTATTCAATTGTTTACGTGTGATTCAGTATTTCATGTTCATGTTACAATAAGAGAGTCATTGATTCAATATGATTCATGCATTATTATAGTGTCATTCATACACCATTTCAATATACTGTTAAAACATTCATTCACAGTGAAATATTACGTTGGCTTTTTGTATGTATAAACTTTTACAAAGATAAATAAAACTGATCACTTTTTTTATATTATAAATTATCAGTTTCATTTATTTTCTATTATATAAGGCAGAATTATCCTCCAGTTGATGACAGTGTGTTCCCTGATTCCACAATTGTTCCAAACGATCCTTGCCTCTCCAGCGATGGAATTTATCTTCTTAAAATGGGTAGGCAGCCTGTGGAGATGAGCAGGAACTGATCTCCCAAACAATATTAATGAGGTCTGAACGCAATTTAAAGCTGGTTTTGCACTCCCTGACTGAGACAAGTGCTCTGTGACCCATACCCAATTCAGGCCTAAAGGTGGGCCTTCAGACATTTCTATCCTTTTTTCCTTGAAACTTTCTATCAAATTTGCTTCATAAAAGCCTCATACACTTTGCCTGTAATCTTACCTACATCTTCTCTACATCCTGCGTTCAAGCTACCCTGATGTCCCATCCTGGAAAGCAGTTCCTTTCCCAGCTGTGCTGGAAGACATTTTCATGTAAATTGATAACCATCTCCCAAGTGGTCACGTAAGCCCAGACAGTCAGTGTTGTCAAGTTAAGTAAGAACAACAGAGCCAAATCCAACCTTGGATGCACCGTGGAATCTACGTGACCCTACCAACCACTACTACTATAAAGAATACCACGATAAAGTGTTTTTGACTTCTTCTATGACAAGATTTGTGAAAATTCAATGATTTGTTTTTGGAAGTTTTTCAGTGAGTCACTGCACTAATTCTTGGAGGTGGGGACAGAGGATTTGGTCATCTGTGCACACCAAGTCTGCAAGGTACAGGGTTGTCTTTGCAGTGTCTGCAACATGACTGATAAATGGAACTGAGACCATAGAGGGGCAGAAAAGAAGTCGGAGAACTTTCCAGAGACAGCCCTATATCCATGGATTTTCAGAGTACTCTTTCCTCTGCACACATTCTGGGAATGAAGATTGAGGTGACGCTGATTCAATATTGAGTCGATCACAGAAGTATGCCACCTCCTTCAACAGAAATTGCAGCCTCACATCAAGGCAAGGACAGTGCTTTTATTAAATGCTAAGCATACAAGTTACAGTGACATTCTATTGACTGGATCAATTCAGGCAATATTAATCAATGCATCAGGAAGTTAATGGAGGCCACAAATATATGATGAAATAAGTGCAACATGTACTGACAAAGCTGAGTGGAGCAGGATGAGCAGATGCGTGAATTTGTTAGCTTTGTGGGAATCCCAATAGTGCAATGAGGCATTGACTTTTCACACCTGGCTCTGCAAGCTGTATATGTCAGTGGGGAACGACACAAGAATCACAAAGGTGACCCACCATTCTGTTATTGTACAATTGGTTTGGGGCAAAGTACAAACCATTATCTCAGTGAATATCCATAATTTTGGCAGCAACCATAATACAATTCTCACTTTATTAAGGCAGCAGCATAACGATTGTCATAAGAAGGTAAGAAACTAGAGAGGGAGTCATGGCTGAAACTCAGTGAGAACTCCACCTTCTTGCCCAGAATCTAATTGAGTTCAAAAATGTATCAATCTCAGCCTTGAATATATTCAACAATCAAACATCTATTTCCTCAGATAGAGAATTCCAAAGATTCACAACTATCTGAGTTTTTTAAAGAAAATGTTTTATTCATTCATAGGATATGGGCATCGCCAGTGGGTCAACATTCATTGTCCAACCCTAGTTGCCCTTGAGAAGGCGATGGTGAGCTCCCTTCTTGTATTCCTGCAGTCCATTTGGAGGTGGTAGATTCACAATGCAGTTAGACAGTTCCATGATATGATTGAATGACAGAAAAGGAACAGTGATATATTTAGATTTAAATTTTATTGTCAAATATACTCAAGTACAGGAATAAAGGAGTACAGTAAAAAGCGTACAACGTCACCATTCCCTGCTGCCATCTTAGTATACAAAAGACAGGATTAAAAACAGGAGCAGAAATAAAAGAAACAGCCAAAAGAAAAGGAAACATCCAGATTACTCTTCCCACCTCCGCCATGAGTCCTCGTCACTAGAGAAACAAAGCCACACAGTCCATCTCTCAGTCTGCGAACACTCAGGTGCCCTGAGTCACTGCACGCCACTGCATCCAGAACACCACCACCTCTACCGTTGGGTACTTAGACCAGCCATGTCCTGGAGCTGTGCCACTGCCGCTAAAATTATGAGTGGCTTGGAAGGAGTTTGCAGATGGTGATGTTCCCATGTATCTGCCACCTTTGTCCTTTTAGATTTTACTGGTCCTAGGTTTGGAAGGTGCTGGCTAAGGAGCCTTGGTGAATTTATGCAGTGCATCTTGTAGCTGGTACACAGTGCTGATACTGAGTGTCAGTGGTAGAGGATGATGCTTGTGAATGTAGTGCTAAATATGCAGGTTGATTTGTCCAAGATGGTGTCAACCTTATCATGCATTGGTGAAGCTGCAGTTATCCAGGTAAGGCAGAACGTTCCATCACACTGCTAACTTGTGTCCTGTAGACCATGGGAATTAGGAGGTGAATTACTCACTGCAATATTCCTAGTTTCTGACCTGCTCTTGTAACCACAGTATTTTTCTGGATAGTCCAGTGCATTTCTGGTCAATGGTAATCCCCAGGATGTTGATAGTAAGGGATTGAGTGATGGCAATGCCATTGAATACCAAGCGGTGATGGTTAGTTTCTCTCTGATTGGAGATGCTCTTTTGTCTGGCACTTGTGTAATGTGAATGTTACCTGCCATTTGTCAGTCCAAACATGGACTTTATTGAGGTCTTGCTGCACCGGGACACAGATGTTTCAGTATTTTAGGAGTCATGAATAGTTATGAAAACTGTGTAATAATCAAAGAATATCCACACTTCTAATCTTGTGAAGGAGGGAAACAGTTTCCCATTTGTTACAATCTCAACCTTAAAAGGTTTACTCCTTATCCTAATGGTGACCCCTGGTTCTGGACTCCCCCACCATCAGGAACATCTTCCTTGTCCTGGTCATGTTGGAATTTTATAGGTTTCTAAGAGATACCCCCTCATTCTTCTAAACTCCAATGAATACTATCCCAGCTGACTCAATCTCTTCTCATATGTCAGCCCTGCAACCCCAGGAATTCAATCTGGTAAATTTATAACAAAAGCTTCCTTCCTCAGGTAAGAAGACCAGACCTGCACACAGTATTCCAGGTGTGGCCTCAACAATGTCCTGCATACTTGTAACAAGACATCATTGTTCGTGTACTCGAATCCTGTCACTATGAAGCCAACATTCAGTTTGCCTTCTTTATTGCCTGTAGTACCTGGGTGCTTACTTTCAGCAACTGGTGCATAAGTTCTCATTGAACATTCCCCTAACTCAGTTTGTTGGCATACAAATAATAATCTGCCTTCCTAATTTTGCTACTAAAGTAGATAACCTCACATTCATGCACAATATTTTTGCCCATTTGCCCATTCACTCAGCCTGTCCAAATCACACTGCAACATCTCTGCACCCTCCTCACAGTTCAACTTTCCACCCAGCTTTGTGTCATCTGCAAATTTTGAAGATATTACATTTAATTTCATCGTTTAAATCATTAACATACACTGTGAATAGCTGGGGCCCAGAAAATGACCCATTTATTTCTACTGAGACAACAAGGTGCAGAGTTGGATGAACACAGCAGGCCAAGCAGCATCATAGGAGCAGAAAGGCTGACGTTTCAGGCCTAGACCCTTCATCAGAAAAATTTTCTGATGCTGCTTGGCCTGCTGTGCTCATCCAGCTCTGCACCTTGTTGTCTCGGATTCTCTAGCATCTGCAGTTCCTACTATCTCTGATTCATTTATTTCTACTCTTTGTTTCCTGTCTGCTAACCAACTCTATTCTTCTCAATGCACTACCCCAATCCCATGTGCTTTTATTTTATACATTAATCTCTTACATGGGACTTTATTGAAAGTCTTTTGAAATTCCAAATTAACCACGCCCACTGGCTCCCCTCATCAACTCTACTAGTTACATCAGCAAAGAATTCCAGCAGATTTATCAGGCATGATTTCCTTTGTAAATCTACACTGTTAAGTGTTGTGCTATATAGTCCTTGATAATAATGCTAGCATCTTCCCTACGACCAACATTGGACTCACTGGTCTACAATTCCCTATTTTATCTCTACCTTCCTTCTTAAGTAATGGAGTTGCATTAGCTACCCTCCAATCTATAGGAACTGTTCCAAAGTATAAAGAATCTTGATGCATACACTATTTTTTGGGCCACTTCCTAAAGTACTCTGGGATGTAGATTGTTAGGCTCCAGGAATTTGTCAGCCTTCAATCTCATCAGTTCCTCTAACACCATTTCACTACTGATACAAGCTCCTTCCTCTTACTAAACCCTATATTACCCATATTTCTACTGCGTTATTTGTGTCCTCCTTGCTGAAGACAGAACTATGAATTTAGTTCCTCAGCTATTGCTTTGTTATTATACATTATAAATTCCCCATTTCAGACTGTAAGGGGCCTATACAAGGTTTCACCAATCTTTTTCTGTTTGTAAACCTATAGAAACTTTTATAGTTAGTTCTTATATTCCTCACAAACTTACTCCTATACTCTATTTACTCCTTCTTAATCAATCCCTCAGTTTCGTTTGCTGATATTTAAAATGTTCCCAATCCTCAGGTCTATTGTTTTCTCTTGCCAATTTGTAAGCCTCTTTTTTGCAACTAATGTGATCTCTAACTTCTCTCGCAAACTATGGTTTGGCCACTGTTCTTTTTGCATCCTTGCGCCAACAGGAATAAACAATTTTTTCTCCATCACCCACACGTCCTTTGAATGTTTGCCAATGCCTGTCTACTGTCATTACTTTCAGTAATATTTCCTAATCCATCACAGCCAGCTCACGCCTCATATCATCATAGATTCCCTTATTAAGATTCAGGACCTTATTCTCAGAATCAACTAACTCACTCTCCATCTTATAGTCACTCATCC